CAGGACGAGACGTTCACAGCCAGGGCAGCCAAAGTGTTCAGCTGCTCAACAACATCAGCGTTGTTCTGCAGCTCCAGCCGGATGTCATCTAGGGAAAAACCCCACAAACAACCCCTCCAGCATCACTACACCCAGCAGAAATCCCACTCCATCTTTCCACTCCTTCACGCTGCTGATGACACCAGAAAGGAGGAAAGAAAACAAACGAAAAGGCATCCTGCTAAATATGCAGTGTGAAATACATTTCTGCACTCAGCAATGCAATGGAGGCAAGCTGTTGACCCAGTTTTTATGTTAATCATTTGTAATATGCTCGTGAGCTTGCCTTTGGGAGGATGCCAGCAATGGGATGTGACATCCATCCCAAATCACAAGTCCCCACTAACCTGCTGGGGCTTTAGACATGCACGTGGTGCATTGTTTCCCCATTCCTTCCACACCCTCTGGTTTAGGAGGTAATCAACTCTCCTTTTGAGCTGCTGTGTCTCAGGGGAGGACATGCTTTATCCAGGCACATCAAGGCAGAGCTGTGAATGCTGTGCTGATGTGTGGACTCAACCTGATGCTGCAGTTAATAAAGATGCTGCTGTTTGCTGGCAGGTTTCAAAGGTGGCTGCATAATGCAAGGTAACTAATATGGAACAGCTGCTGCAGGCTCCGTGGCTTTATGGGGAGTTAAGGCAGGAGCTGCTGCTCATGAATAACACAGGGGTCAGCACCAACTGCATGTAAATGACTGCAACAGACCATAATGACTCTTGGCTGCTGCTGGGTTTGCTGCCACAGTCCAGATTCATGGTGACATGCCTGGCCACTCACTGCCACAGCAGGTAGGGACAGCAAGGCTGGCAGGAAGGGACTGGGATCCCCATGCACTCACAGGGATGTACCAACCCCACTGTTACTGGTGATTCTCACAGTGCACAGCTCCAAATGCCACCTTGGAGGGCCTTGCACACCCACCAAACTGCAGCAGAGCATCTCCTGAATTGATGCCCCTGGCTCCATCAGCCTGGGTACATTTATGTGATCCCTGGCTCTTCTGCTCTGGAGAAGTTCTGATCTGAACCTCGCTGCAATGCAAGGGAGCTCTCCACAACATTTTCCAGCCGAGTCCCAGGCAGCTCATTTGAAGCCATAATTACGGCTAAACAGTGTCCTCCAGTGGCCACACACCGCGGCAAAGCTCCCGTCCCGGCACCCCCAACACCCAGGGGAAACATCTCCACACCAGCACTCTGCTCTCTAAGAGCCTTTTCCCTGCAAGATTCCTGCATCACTGGGATTGCCTTGCCCTGGAGCCTCCAGCACGGGCCAGAGCAGAGCAGACTATGGGATGGCTGCAGCTGGCTGAACCTGGAGCTCCCAGGCCTGAAGTACAAGTAAGGAAGAGGGCAGCACATCGTGGACACACTCACCCAGCTCATTTATCTGACTCAGGAGCTCAGCTGCGTCCAGATCCACCATCAGCTTGATAAAAACCTGCACAAAGGGATTCTGCAGGGCGTTCTACCAATAAGCAGACAAAGACAAAGCATCAGTTTGACCAGAAGCTCCTTGAGTTCACCCACTGTGCAATTCCAAACCACCACAGAGCAGCTGCCTTCACTGGGTATTTGCACTGCCCCCTCCCTACTCCCTTCACTCTGCATCAGGATGGGGAAATGCCAGCAATGGGAACATCACAGAAAGCTCCCTAAATCCAAGTCATTGCTTCTCTGAGTCAAGAAAGGATGCCCACTGAGTCTCCACCAGGCACTGGAGTCCCATCAAAAAAATCATGGATGATTTTAGTTATTCTAGAAGTAAATTTCCCTTGTGTCTGTTTTAAGTCCTGTGAACACAGCCAGTGCCCAATGCATAGGCAACCAAAACTTCACTTGGAGATCAGCACAGGTTTTTGTTTGGCTGAATATTTCGTTATTCCACCAATGACTGCAATCAGCAGAGAGCATTTCATTTCACTTTTGCATATTCCACTCTGGATTTTCTCTTGATGCCATGGAAATTAGAATGAATTCCAGCCCCTAAAATTAACTGCTAATGCTTTTGGCTTCCAGGGATCTCATTTTTGTAAGAAAAGGAGACAATTTTTACTACAGAGAATGGGAAACAAGTGTGTGTAACATTACAGTCTACTGCTTTCTGTATCCAGGCAAGCTTTCTTAGGAGGGGGAAAAAGAAATTTTATTTACATTCACTGAAGTACAAAACATCTTCCAGCTCTTATGTGTGTAGCCAGAACTACATGCTTATTATAGATACTGTTTCATTCTCTGAAAAATTCATTTCTTGCCTGGTCTTGGCTGGCTGGATCAGTCCATCAAGCAGAAAGTTAATTTACAAACTGAAGAGTGTTCCCTGCTCATCTTAGCCCTCCAGCAGGCCCCAGCACAGCCAGGGTCAGGGAGCATATTACAAACAGTTCATTTGAGAAAGAGAATTTGCAGGGAAAGGTGAGGCAGGAGCATCTCTGTTAAGGAACAGGCAGAAACTGTGAAGTACAGGACACCCTGAGAGGGGTCTCCCCAGCTGACCTAAGATGTCCCTGGAACCCCAGTTTACTTCAGTGAACAGATTCCCTCCTGGCAAGAGGCAGAGGGCAGGTAGGAAGTCATACCTTGATCATTGGAACTGTCTGGTTTAACTTAGTCAGTGAATTCAGGATGACAGGAGACTGGTCCAGCCACTCCTGGGACTTCAGGGCTAACTCAGCCATCTGCTCCAGGGTTGCATTTGACTACAAAAGAAGCCCACAACATAAAAGGATTAATTTATTCATTACCTTACAGATTTTAACCAATAAATAAATCAATAAAACAGTTGAGACCACATTTGTTTTCCTTATGATTTTTCCTAGCATACTCACATTGTTTGGCAAAATACCCCTTAACACACTGGATTTATTTAAGTACTGAAAAATATTATATTTAGGGTATGTCTTCAATATCTGCTTTCCTTCTGCCTCTGGTCTGCCTGTGAACAAGCACTGGTTACAGCATTTGTCCTGGGAGACACATCTCTCCTACTGGCTGAAAATATGGAGGTGAAACTTGATAAGCTGGAGGTCTTAAACAATTGTCCTGTAAATATTAGACCAACAGCAGCTTCTGGAAGGAAGATTCAACCAAAGACAAAAGATGACTCATATGGCCAGCAAGGCAAGTAGGAAAAAATAATATGATGAATACTCCAAACAGTGAGAAAGCAGCCCTCTGCTTCCCAGGGAAACAAGCCTGTGCTAGATAAATTACAGCCCTGTGCAGTGGGTGTATGCTGATGTCCTGGAGCAGAGCCATACCTTTCCCATGATTGCTCGAGTTTCTGGGGTGTCTGGTGTGAAAAGGATCTTCCCAAGCACCATTGGTTTTAAGAAAGACCAAATCAAAGCTCCGGTGGGGGTCTTGACCAGGTCCAGGTAAAAGGATAAGCAAAATGGGGCTGCAAGGGGAGAAAAACAAGCAAATTACACAGAGAACAAACAGACCAGACACAAGAAAGCTGCCAGTGTGTTTTTTCTCCCATCTGCCCAGTTTGTTGCTGTGGCCAGTGAATGACTTCAGGGCCCTCTTCACTGACTGATCTAATGCATCCTGACAAAAGCAATCCACCCCCAAGATCTCCTGTTGCTGAACTCAAGACAACAAGAGTCTCTCTGTTGGAGCCAACATTATCTGCTTGAAGGTTAAATGGAGTTTTGTGAACTCAGAGGAGCTAATAATGTCAGTACAGTCAGGAAAACTACACATCAAGAAAAAGCAGTGACCTGTCGAGCCCTAGGACCAGATCATCAACAAATGGGAGACAGTGCAGTGTCAAGCACTGCTCTGCTGCACAGGCAGTTTCCCTTTGAACGTTTATGGAAATAAACCACCAATAATTAGGGCAGTGCAGATCTTCAGCTACCATAAATAATGAGCACTTACAGCCCTCAGAGACATATGGAGAATAGCTCAGCACTAGATCTGTCTGGAAATAGCAGAGTTCAGCTCTGAAACGTTTGTGCCCTAGGGAAAAGCCAGACTTACTGGAATCCTGAGGAATCCCATATTTCCTCATCAGCTTTTGGACATAGACATCCCCTGCATGAGAACTGTTGCTTACAGGGTCTCCAAAGTCTGGAAGCAAAGACTCAAAAAACAAGGGCGTGATCTCCTGGTTGCAGAGGACTTTTGACATGGATTTAAAAGTGCCATGTGTTATCCCAGAGTTGTTTGGTTTAAATAATGCCTGCAGAAAAGACAAAACACAAATAAATCCTGCACACTGAAAGCACCCCACTTGGAGAGAAATAACAGAATGAGAAGGAAAGCACTGAACATTTTTATACTGCTTTCTTATGACAGGTTTGCATTTACCAAAATAGGAACTTTCTATGGAAATCATGTATTTTTTGTTATGACAGAGGTGGCACATTTATTTCCAGGTATGACAACCAATGTAGGAAGAGCCTCCAATGTGTGCAGAGAAATTCCCTATCATGTGTGCCTGGTGACATTCACACACCTGGGTTACAACACACATTTGTCACATGGATGTGCACATCACTGTCCCCATCCAGCCCATGGCTGCACGTGGCTCTGCAATGTGCAGGCAGAATGATGACCAGGGACAATTCCTGTCACTTGTGCTCTCCTGGACCATGGATCAGAGATGGATTGGGCACTGTGCTGGATGAAGGCAGAGCACCCTGGAGTTACTGCAGCTGTCAGAGCAGTAATGGGTTTGTACTGAATGTTTTGGGCACTCTGAGGCTTTGGGTGTGATCTAATGCACACTAAAGCTAAGGCAGTTTTTTGCTGCTGACTTTGGTGGGTTTGCCTTTAGTGAGCAGTTCTCCAGCTGATCCTACCAGTATTTTGCTGCAAATCCTCTCTCCTTTAAGACATTCTTGCTCCAAGTGTTCCCCCCCCACTCATGAGCACATGAGGGTCCCACTGCTCCAAATCAAAACTCCCCCAGGAAGGCAACACAGACTCACAGAATGGATTGGGTTGGAAGAGCCCACAAAGCTCATCTCATTCCAACCTCCTGCCATGGCCAGGGACACCTGCCAGAAGCCCCATCCAGCCTGGCCTTGAGCACTTCCAGAGATGAGTTTGATAGAGCTTTTCCTCAGAACACTGTTGCTTTGAAAAGGAATCTATGTTTAATGCACCTGTGGCTTCTAGGGTAGGAAATGATTGTGGAAACCATTTCAGTGGTATTTTGCCTCAAAAGCACATGCAGGCTACACATACCTTAGTCAGTGGCATTTTCCTGGACTGTCGGAGCTTTTTCAGGGAATGAATAGCTTGTAGCAATGGATCAATGCCAGATTCAACCTGGTGTCTGAAATATTTCATTTTTGTCAGAAGGCCTAACATCTTGTCCATGGGTTTCTGAAGTTCCTTAGGGAAAAACATCTGCAAGAGGCAGGAAGGAAATCAATTATGATGAGCAGGAATCTGCATGCACAGGCATGCACACGCCCATATTGTGTTAACTCAAACATGAGCACTGTGGGATTTTCAAAACTGCAAGGAGGTTTTACAGAGTGGGTGTCCCATGGGAAATGAATGGGATTATTATTCCTAAATCCCCCAAGCACTTTTGCAAACCATTCACCTGAACATTACATAATCTAACAGTGTATTTCCAAACTACAGTTGGGAAATATGTGTCATGTACTGGCTGGGATATGACCAAATCTCCCATTTCACAGAGCACAGATGTCAAACACCACGAGTGACTTTTGACCTGAGCCCAAATTCATTGGCATTATCACTCAACAACTTTTTTTTTGCCCAGGATCACTCCTGTATTTTTAAATACATGCTCACTATTCACTTCTTCATGAATGTTTTCTTAGATGCTGTTGCTATAGCTGGGGGTGGGGGGTGGAAATTTGAATAATTTAGTAACTTTTAGTTCCAAATAGATAGGGAAAAGATATCTTACAGGACTTTTTCCAGGGCTTCCCTTTTCAAGGCATCAAAAAATTTAGCTCATTTTTGAGTCAGCTGGGAGTGTTCAAAAGGTTGTGACAGCACATAAAGGATACTAGCAGATAGGGAGGCATTTAGAGTAGGTCCAGTGCCTTTAAATGAGGTTTGCTGCTTTACACCAGCTGGGATTCTCATTTATATCCACGCTGTCACAGCATGGATATGCAATAAAACTTACTGCATGAGCAAAGCCTGATCTTTGGCTTGTGTAAATCAGTGTAGCTTCTGGCCACTGCAATTATATTTTATAACCTTTCAGCCAGGGCATGCAGAAAACACTCCAAAAATCCAGCACTAACCTTGTACAAGAAATTGTAAATGTCCAAGTGTCTCAGCAGGGTGACCCCAAGGAGGTAGGTCCTGCGAGTCCTCTCTGGCACAGGGAGGCTGCACAGCTCCTGCAGCACCACCTGCAGCTGTGGGTCAGTGGGGTGGGCACTGCAGGACTCCAGCTGCAGCACCTGAGAGAGGAGCTGGGTGTGCACAAAGGGAAAAGAGAATTATTAAGGGTGTACTGCACACTCCACCATGCCTGGGTTAATCTTGCCTGGCTGTTGTTCTTTCCACAGAGCCATATTTCAACCACCCAAGAACCAGAAAATGCCTGCCCATTACTCCTGCTCCCAGGGACAAATCCTAAGGACTGTGTTTTACTACCCAGCTTGCACAGTAGTAAAAACTTTTGTGGCTTCAATTTCTCACTGACTGATGCATGTGAAGTTTGGAAAAGAGCACTCTCTTTGGGGCCCAGCCCAGACAAGATGGCTGGGAAGGGGGAAAGCATCTGGAGCTCTGCTTGCAGGAGCAGGAGGCTGAGGAAGGGAAGCTCATCTCTCATTCTGGGAGGGTATTTTTGGACCCTGAGTGCTCTCACACGTTGTGGTTATAAATGCACTTTTGCACCTGGACTGGGACAACTTCCCAGTGACCAGGACAACTGAAAACCCTGCTCAGCCCCCTTGAGTGTGCCCCAGAGAGTTGTGCCCTGCTCCAGATCAGAGCCATTCCTCTCCTGGCTGCTGCCCAGCTCCTGGTGACAGCCCAAGGGTTACCATGTGGCTCCCAGTCTCCAATGGCTGGGCTGACAACAGTGATGCTCCTGCTGCATTCCTGGTGGCTTTCCCAGCCCATAACATGCTCTGCTGTCCTCTGTCTGTCCCTGTGGGGTCATCTGTGCTGTCACACACCCACTGATCTGCTCAAATTATAAGTTTTAATGGTCTGAGCAGTAGAAAGCAGCAAGATCTCCCTGAAGGATAACAGCAAACTTACCTGACTGCTGTTTTCTGGGAAAGCTGCTTCCAGAAGAGCATCAATGCTGGCTGTAGACATTCCTGTTGTGTTTCTGAGGTCCTCTTTGAGCTGCTCCACATTTTTAAACACATCTCTTAACTTTTCTGGAATAAACAGTCAAAGAACAATTGATGTTACAGCTTTCTCCAGACACACAGCAAATCTCAAGCACTTATGTGAAGTATGGGAGTGTGGTACCTCACTGCTCATAAGAAAAAGGTCACAAAAACTTGGAACATACAGTCATTACTCCCTACATTTTACAGTCTGGTTTTTGGGTGGAAGTTATCACATCTCAGGACAGCAAAATTTGCTCAGATGGAAAGACTTGGTGCTTTTTTTGTAAAGCAAACAAAGTGTGGTCTTGAACAGGCTCTGGAAGTACCCCAGATTAAGGATCCCAAGGTCATGGTGTATGATTATTTCATTCCCAGTTCTTCCTGGCAGCTGGGCAGTTCTGGGATTTCCAGCAGCAAGTGTGGTACCAGTGGTGATGTTTACCAACATTGTAAAGAAAATACAGAAGAGTACCTTGCTTGCTGGAGTCTGTAAAACCCTCAGTGACATTCAGCATGGAATTCAAAGTAGCCACATACTGAGGAATCTCTTGAAAGAATGCAATTTCTGGTACATTTTCTTGAAGCCTGAATTGGAAAAACAAAGCAGCAAACAAAAGTGAGAATATAAAGAGAAGGCAAGAAGTCATTCCATAAAGAGAATACTAAAACAGTCTAGCTCAGAGAGAGAGCCTCACCACTTGAGCTGTGCCTGGATGTCTGTGGCATCCCCAATGAGGACATTCTGGAGCTCCTGGGAGATCCTCCTGTGACTCAGCATGCTGGCCACCAGCTGGCTGCTCAGCTCAGCAGCACGGAGGAGCTGCTCCTGAGCCTGGCCCTGCTCACACAGCTCCCCAGAGGGAGCCTCAGGGAGGTGGCAGAGCTGCTGGATGGACTGAAAGCTCTCAGAGTTACACAGAAGTGCTGTCAGATCCTGGAGGCGAGAGATCTTCAAAGGACATTTGGGAAAAAAGGGAGAAAAATGCACAAACACCATTTAGATGACAGAATATAAAAGGCAAGCTTTAAAGAGTCTAGCTGTCCCTTTCTCTGTCTCCTTAGGACTAGGATTTTGAAATAGATATATATTTAGTTCATTCAAAAGGTCTCCAATGGAACAGCTTGTGACAATCATTGTGTGAGCTTCTGGCAGGCCTGGCTGGATCTAATAAACCTTGCAAACCTTAATATGTCATTTCCCCTGCCCAACACACTTAAGACAGCATTACTCCATTGGACTTACCTGTTTATTAATTAATCTTCTCAGAGACCAAATAAATCTACCTTGCACAACAGGTTTAGCCCTTCAGATACCACCTGGTCATCTACTGCAGCACAGGAAAGGGACTTGGCCACAAGTCAGAGCTTCCTCATCTGCCAAATGGTGTAAAATTATAGTCCTTTTCTATTATGGGCTTCCCTCTTGTCTGACATCATTATTTACATTATCAGGCTCTTAGGGGAAGAATTATTTTCAGCTTTATGCCCTTAAGTACCTGTCACACTGAGGCTCATCATATTATTGTTACATATATATTACACAGCAACAACATTGCACACTGCTGTATTTTTTTCAAAAGGACTTTTAAATGCTATTTCTCATATGGAGCAATAGACTGAAGTGCATGCATGCTATTAGTGCAGTCATGAAGAAGCATTTTGTTCAAATGAGGCACTGCCAAACCCAAAGCTGGTGAGGGAACTCCATGAATCAACCTTGGTGCTTCACCTCAGGAGCCATTCTGGTGTTGTGTGACATCTGGGGACAGAGGAGCATGTGGGGACTTGACTCCAGCCACACTGGGGCTGGTACAGCTCCTTAGGCAGTAACCCAGTTAGTCATGCTGCTAACTGCCAATTAGAAGTGCACAATTCCATGGATTTTCAGCAGGGCAGAAGTATCTAATCCCTATCTCTGCCTTTCAGAACTCCTCCCTGCCTCCTCCTCAAGGGAAGCTGAGGCATTCTAGAATCATTGCAGCTCTGCAAGGTGCTTCAGGAAGTCTCAGTATACTGAATTTTAAAACTAGTGGTGCACTAAGGAATATGCTGCCACTGGCCATTTCTGCAGTGCTCATCCTCCTGGGACAGCTGGTGGCAAACAGAGCCATCCTATCCAGCACATGGGAGGACAGGAACACCTCTACCTTCTCTGAAAAATGGGTGTACACTCAGTAGGGACAGATAAAAGAACAAGTTCCTCAACCCAGTTTACAGGTGACCTTCAAATCTAGGCAGCATGCAGAACACAGAGTTTCAGCCCTAGTTTTTATCAGCTGTTCTCTTAAAAAAAACTCTTTTCCATACTCTGTTTTTCAAAACCACCATTGCACATTCATGTATCACTGCGGGATGTCCTTCAAGTCAGCATTTAAAGCAGACTCACTTTTAGCTTCAGGAGCTCTGGTATGGATGAATGTTTCTCAGAGGTATTATTTTGCATAAAAGAGTTCTTTTTCAGATGAGTTTGCTTCAAAAGCAGTGGGATGTTTTCTGTGCAGGGGAAAAAAACAATAGTTACTCCAGACAAAAATGCCAGAAACTTCACAGAGGGAATATCAGCACTTTTATTCTGTGGCCAACTGAGCATTGCTATTTTCCATCAAACCTCCATGGCTGAGGACCTCTGAAATCACAGAGCAAGGCCCAGACTGTGATCTGGGTTATAAGGGATTGAGTTCAAGTAGGTGCTCTGTTCCTAGTGAAATCCAGCCCATGCTGGTGCACAGGTAAAACCTCTTGGGTGTTACAATAAGCACACGAGACGAGTATCTATGTGAAACACCATGTTAGCTCTCAGAAATAACTGCTGTCATATTACAGCTACAAAAAGCTGTGAAGGGAAAGAAGTTTCTATTTGCAAGATTGCTTTGTCTGAGTGTCAGCATCCTGTCATCACACTGAGAAGAAGAGATGTGCCTTCTCTGGAGAGACTGGGATGGAAACTCATAATCCCAATGTGACACAACTCAAACCAAACCCCAGTCTGGCTTCCCCATGTCTCACAGCTCCAGTTAATTGCCAGCAGATAAAACCATGCAGCACCATTCCTTCCCTCCATTAGACAAAACACATTGCAGCTGAGGCCCCTGAGCATTAATGAAATCATGATCACCTGTCAATTCCCCATCCTCAGCTTCTGCAGAATTCATTAAACACATCAGGTATGGGTTATAGCTGTTGTTCGCTGTCACCTGCAAGATGGTGTTTTGAAATTCTAAAAACAGAAATCTGAAAAATAAGATAGGAATTTAAATCAGCTTCACTTTCAAAAACAAGGTATGTATTAGTGAGGGACCTGTCAGCTGTGGCTGCTGCTCCTCAGCAGAGTAAATAAGAATTCCAGATGAAAGCCATCTCTCCTAAGTGGGCACCCCCCCAGTTTTATTCCATCCGTTCTTTCTGCTGTTATTTCCCAAAGCTGTCATTCACTCTCAAAATAAGAAAACACACTTGAAAAGTTCACATCTATGTGATGGATGCATTACACAGATGGAAAGGCACACCTAAGGGAGACTGAGGGTCAAAAATTAGAGAGTCATCCCACAAAGGAAGGTTTTCCCAAGAGCCTACCACTGATGGTGAGACTCCTTCAGGACTCTGTTCCACTGCATTGATACATGTGCCAACACACAAAAATTTTTCTAAGTCTGACTTTCAGCTGTAGTTTCAGCTCAAGGAGAAGTTTCCTCTGCTTCAGTTTAACCCACATTATACATTGTGTCCTAAATTACAGTGATTGCAGGCTTAGGTTGTTCCACTGGAAGAAAATTCCACACTTCTCATGCTGGAATGAGAATGGTGGTCACAACCCACGCATGGAATTACAATTCCCAAATCCCAAACTCACTGTGTGATCAAGCTGGCTGGGGACAGAGTGTGGTCACTCAGAGTCCAAGGCAGGGTCTTGTTGTAAAGGGTTTCTGCCACAACAGTGAAGTGATGAGCAACGATATCAATCACAGTGTCAAAACTGGTTTTGTTGGAGAGAGGAGGTGAACTGGAACTCATATTGAATTCATTTAGCAGGCCAGGGATGTTCAGCGCCTTGAAAATGTAGAAGGTGGCTTCTGTGATTTCTAGAGCTGACAGATCACTGGCAGAGTCACTTGCCACTGCTTCCAACAGCCTTGCAAGGGAAGCTCCTTCAGCTGGGCTCCTTTTGGTGCTGAGGAAGCTGTCAAACACATCCCAGGCACTTGTGTAGTAGCTGCCTGTGGTGAGGCTCTGCAGGAGCCTCTGCAGCAGGCTGTGGAGCTCATCCTGTGCCACACTGGAGAACACGGTCAGGTTATCCCAGCCTGTGGCACTGCCAGAGGAATTCAGGGAGCTCAGCGCTGTTTCATTCAGCAGGGCAGAGAGGAGCACGTTCAGAAGCTGGGATGGGGACACATCACCCACATCCTGGGCTGGGATGGGGCACCAGGCATCACCCTGCACCAGCCCCTCCGTGGCTGCACTCAGAGCTCTCCCCTTCTCCTGCAGCCACGAGTTTCCCAGCCCAGAGACAAGGTCTAACTTGGAGAGGAAACTCAGGGACAAACGCAGAGCTCGGGTGAGGCACGACAGCTCCTTGGCAAAGCCCTCCCTGCTGTTGTTGTACGCAGCAGCAAACTCTGGGGACAGCTGCACGTTGCTTATGGCCAGCTGGAACAGCCTGGTAAAGGTCTCATTGCTCCCTGTCCCACCCTCCACGCCCAAGGAATGCAAGAGGGGCTTGCAGGGGCTCCTGGCTGAGGACTCCCTTAGAGTGGCATTTTCAAACAGCACCTCAAGGCCTATGGCAAGCACATCTTCAAAGGAGCAGTTCTGGAGTGTCCTGTAGCCATTGCTGCTGGGCTCAAGGAAAGGATCCAAGGCTGATCTCAAGAACTCCCAAACTTTTGCCTGTAGTGAGGAATTGTGCTGTGAGGGAGACTGGCTGAACTCCTGCAGTAGAAAATGTGAGAAATTATAGATACTGGCCATTTTTTCCTCCAATGTTTTGTTTAAGTTGGTCTCATGAAGAACTTTCATTCCTGCTCCCCACATTTCCATCAGTCTCTGGGTATGGTTACTGTAAGAATCAAGTAACAGGCTGAGAGATTCAAGCTCTCTGATGTTATACCTTTCCTGCAGACCTTTCAAAGTTAAGATACCCCTCTGCATGGCCTTCAAGTATGTGGAGATGTTGCTTCCCACAGAGTCTTCTTCATCATACAGCTCAAAGATGGAAGATGCAAAGTTTAGCAGCTGCTTCAGTTCCTCACTGAAAGGAAGGCTGGAGTCACTTTGCAGTGTATTTAGCAGATTTTGCAGCATGTCCAGAAGTGACTGGGCAGTGAGACTGTCTGGATTACTCCAGTTCAAGGATTGCAGACCTTCAGCAATGTGCCAGAAAGCATCAAGTTCATTTTCTTGCCCTCCAGAAGGGAGCTTCTGCATTAGCTTAGACAAAGAAGAGATCAGCAGATAATGATCACTGGTATTCACCTTTGCCATGGCACCGAGAAGTTTCTCAAGGGACAAAAGGTGTTCTGCGAAATTTTCAAAAGTTTCAGGGGTCAACAAGAAGTCAGAAAATAATGATGACACTTTTTCATTTGTGCTGAGATAATTTTCAATGTCTTCGAGTGAGATTGCATCGAGTGCAAGCATTTTGATAACCTCCCATGCATTCTCTGCAATAAAATCAGTCCTGTTTAAAATGATCTCATTCCAAATCACTGCAGCCATAGTCAGAACATCTTGATTCTCTTTTCCATAGGGATTAGAGTAGAACAGTCCTTCACCACCCCCTTCATACAGAGGAAGTATTTCTTGAAACATTCTTTCCAAGTCCAGTGTGCTGTCTGTGGCAGAAGTTGAACTGATGAGGAGTTTTAATGAACTGTACAAATCACTGAGATCTGAGGATTCCATCGCTTCAGTAGAATTCTGAAAGATCTGATGCACCAATGCTTTTCCAGGAGCCACCCCAAAGTCCACGAGGATTAGAGCTTTCTTCATCATTTGCAGGAGCTCCACATACTCACCCACTTCTGTCAGGCTCCATTTGGAGGTGAGCAGGCTGCCAGTGGCGTGCCACAGCCGGGAGAAGTGTCCCCACTCGGGCTGCCTGGAGGCAGCTCTGCCCACCTGCAGCAGCTCGTAGAGGCTGCTGTTCCTCATGGAAGCAGCTGCTGGCAGGAGGGAGAACACAGGCAGCCCATCCCAGGCTGCTGAGCTGCCAGAGGAATTCAGGGAGCTCAGCGCTGTTTCATTCAGCAGGGCAGGGAGGAGCAC